ACACACACACACACACACGCACACACGCACTCAACACAACACAACACACACACACACACACACACACACACACACACACACACACAACACACACAGCACACACAACACACAACACACACACACACACACACGCACACACAAAAGACGCACAGACGCGCGCACACACAGAGCACCACGTACAATGTCTCTGATGGCGTGATCGGACGGAGAGGCCGGGAGGTCGAGTGGCGTGTAAGATGAGCCCCAGTCGCTCATGAGGCCCGTCAGGTCATACCCGGCAGACGTCGCGCCGTACGCGCCCCAATCCGCCTCAGGCAACTGAGATGACTGGTGCTGTTGGTGCTGCATGTGTGGCTGGTCATCGCTCGGCGGCCCCCACACAGACATGGGCTGCGTGTCAAACAGCATTGAACCCAGCGGCTGCGACGCTTCCGCCGGCGTGCTGTCGTCATACGCTGTCGACCAGCTGCTGGCTGACGGCACGCCCATCACACCGCCAACAGCTGCTGACGTGGACGAGGCCGTGGGCACCGTGCCCTGCCCGGGAATGTACGGCGGAGCATCTTTCTGTGGCGCCGGCATCGTGGCTGGCGCGCTCCAGCTGTCCTGCACACGACCATGCTCTCCAACACGCCACTCGGCAGCATGCGCCGACAGCGGCTGCAAGGTCGCAGTGCCGCTCGTCCCGGGACTCGGCACCTTGTGCTGCTCGCTGTGCGCCTGCTGCTGGTGATTGTGTTGGTGGTCGTGCTGTGGCCAATATGAGGGCACCGACGACGCCACAGACATGCCCGCATACCCGCTGCGGTGCTGCCCTTGCTGCTGTTGCTGCGACTGCTGCCGCTGTGGACTTGTCGCATGCGCGGTGGTGGTGGCGTATTCCTGCGTTGGCGCGTGGAACGAAGGCGTGTGCTCATCCGCATCCGTCGTTGACCAGAGCGCACGAACGCTCTCGTCAAATGCAGGCATTGTCCAGTCAGTCAGCGCAGCAGGCGCCTGCCGCTGTTCTCGCTGCATGGTGTTGCCGCCCAACAGCCTCGCATGATCCACATCGCCTCCGCCGCCTCCGCCGCCTCCGCCGCCGCGGCCGCCGCGGCCGCTGCTGACCTGTGGCACCTTCCCAGCCGCAGCCACTGGCGCTTGCAACGGCTGCGTGCGTGGTGTGACGGTGTTGTAGCCACCCCGCTCCACAACGGGCCAGGACCCGCCAAACTGCGACCCGTCCACAATCTGGCTTGACGCAGGCGCAGAGAGCGGCATCCCAAACGCACCACCGTGCTGTTGCTGCTGGCGCTGGTGCGGAGCATTGCGTGTGCCGTTGTGCGCTGCACTGGACCGCGCGTCAGCTGCAAACTCACCGGCACCGGACAGGGTGGGTGGGATGGGCGCGAGCGCCCCAAACTCGTCCATGTGCGGCGTGCCGCGGCCCGTGCTGTTTGCGCCCGACCGCGACTGTGTCTGCATCTCTGGCTGCTGACCCGGCGCAGGTCCGAGCGGGTGCGCATGTGCCGGGATGAACGAGGGGTCGGACAGCAGCGTGCGCGCGGGGTCTGTCGCTTGCGGCCGTCTCCGCTGTGGCGGAGGAGCGTATTGCTGGTTGGCGTGTTGGTGCTGCTCCTGCTGGTGCTGCTGGCGGTGGTATGGGGCCTGCATCTCACGCCCGCCGTGGAAACTGCGCGCCTGTTGCTGGCGACGGGGCGAGGCTATTGGCGTCTTGTGGTACGCTCCTGAGGCCACCTGCCGAGATCCCACATGTTGCTGTTGCTGCTGTTGTGGAAGATGCTGAGCACGTTGGCGACCGTCACTGCCACCGCCGTATGTGCGGTCAGCACGACGAACATCCCACTGTGCACCCACCACACCACTGCCACTGCCACTGCCACTGCCACTGCCACTGCCACTGCCGTTGCTTGCAAATGCCGCGGGCTGCAGTGAGAGGCCCACGCCCGCGTCGTCTTCATGTACAGCCTGGGCATCTGCCGATGGCTGCAGTGGCGACTGCGAGTCCCCGGGCTTGGGCGGCGGCACAGGCACCGACCGCAGCAACTGGCGGACGTGCTGGGCGCCCTTGGCATCATCAACAGCCTCAGAAGCCTTGTCGCCTTCCTGCGTCGCATCAAGGACCCGTTGCAGCGACGGCTGCGAATCCCGTGTCATCTGATCAGCCCCATCATTTGCTTCAGCCAGGCGCTGCTGCCGCTGCTGCCGTTGCTGCTGCTGCTGCTGTTGTTGCTGCTGCTGCTGCTGTTGTTGTTGTCGTTGTGCGGGTGTTGGCTCTGTGGGTGTTGCCTTTGCGGGTGTTGGTCCCTGTACCGGTGCAGCCGCGGTGCTTGCCGATTGTTGACCTTGCTCCAGCTCAGCGGCACCGACAACACTGCCATTGGGGGTCTGCTCTGCCGTCGCCGCCTCTTGCTGTTGTTGTGATGGCTGCTTGGCTGATGCCACCATCGGGGCGGCCGAAATCAGAGGGCTGTGGGGGAACATCTGCATCGTTGCCTGCGCAGCAACAGGCCGCACCATGTGGTCTGCGGGAGGCTTGGGCAGCAAGCCAGACATCATCTGTTTGTATCGAGCTGTCAGCTCGCCCTCATTCTCGAACACAACAGGCTTGTCTGTAGCGTGGTCGCTGTTGGGCGCGGTCATCACACCAGGAGCGTCACTGCTGCCCCTGCTCCCACTGGTGCCGCTGTTGTTGCTACTGCCTCCAACTTGCCGGCTTGCTGACGGCGCCCCGGTTGCACCACCGCCCGTTGTCGCTGTGCGCATTGGCTTGGCCGCGGACACTGCTGTGGATGCAGGCTGCCGCTCCTGTGTCGACCAGGGCTTGCTTGTCGCCCTCGAGGATTGCTGCTTCTGCTTGCTCTGAGCTGACGACGACGACACGGGTGCTTTCCTGGGCGTGGATGGCGCGGAGGCGGATGCGACGACGGCTGGTTTCGCCGCGTGCTGACTCACAGCAGCTGCTGCAGCAGCAGCAACCGAGGACCGCTGTGGACTTGGTTGCACAGATGATACCGCTGTTGGCCCACGTCTTGGCTGTTGCTGCTGCTGCTGCGACTTCTGTGGACCTGATCCTGATGCTGGCTTGGAAGAGGGACGAGGGGAGGCAGGTGCAGTGCGTGCATTGCCGCCCGTAGCTCGCTTCGTTGGGGTTTGTGGCGTTGCAGCTTGCTTCTGCTTCTGTTGCTGTTGCTGCTGCTTGCGTTGGCGCGCTTGTTCCTCTTCCTCTTCCTTCTTCTTGCGCTGCAGCCTTTTCTCGTCCTCCTTGCGCCTCTTTTCCTCTTCTCTTCTGCGCTTCTCTTCCTCCTTGCGCTTTTTCTCCTGCTCCTTGCGTATTCTTTCCTGCTCTTGCTTCTTGCGCTTTTCTTCCTCCTCCTTCCTCCTCCTCTCCTTGGCCTTGGCCTTGGCTTCCGCCTCCTTCCTCCTCCTCTCCTTCTCCCTGGCCCTGGCTTCCTCCTGTTTGCGTTTCTGCTCCAGCTCCCGCTTGCGCTGCTCCGCAAACAGCCTGCGGTCTGCCTCCTCCCGCTCCTCAATCACGCGCCGCAGCTGCCGCTGTCGTTCCTCCTCCTGCTGCCGCTGCTTCTCCCGCTGCTCCTTGTCCTTCTTCCGCTGTTGCTGCTGCTGCTTCTGCTTCTCGGCCGCCTTGCGCTCGGCCGCCTCCTGCTTCTTGCGCTCCTTGCTTTCCCGCGCCTTCTTGCGTGCGCGCGCCTGCTGCCGCTTGCGCTCCTTTTCCGCCTCTTCGGCAGCCAGCAGCGCCTGTGCCGCCTCCTCAACCTCGCGCTCCTTGCCCTTTTGCGTCTCGTGCGCCTTTCGCATCTGGATCAGCTGCGCTGCATTCGCCAGCACAGACATCTTCTCCCGCAGCGCATCCTTCACCACCTGCACAATGGGGTCGTCGTACGCAGACTCGCGAATCAGGTCAAACAGCTGTGCCCGGTCCTCCACCTTGGTCGAGTGCTCATCCATCAGCCGGTCCAGGTCCTCCCCTTCCTGCTTCTCAAAGGCAATGATTGGCTGCAGGTCAATCGTGTTCAGCATGACCCGCCGCGTCCCGCCGCTGCCAGAGGCGCCACCGCCGTTCGACGACGACGACGTTGCGACTGCTGTGGTCGATGCCGATGAAGAGGAAGCTGACGCGTTGGCAGGTGTAGACGCGTGCTGCTGCTGCTGCTGCTCTTTCTGCTGCTGTGGCGCATCTTGGTTGGCTTGCATTGTGGTTGCGTTTGCCTGCGCAGGATCAACACCTGAAGGTGCACCGTTACCCTCGTCGTCGTCATCATCGTCATCATCATTATCGCCACCATGGTCGTGGCTTTGGTTATCACCACTGCGGTGACTTGATGACTCGGCACCCGAACCCTCTGCTTGCTGCTGCTGCTGCTGCTGTTGTTGTTGTTGCTGCTGTTGTTGTTGCTGCTGCTCGGATACCACCATGGAGGATTGCAGCGCGGCAGCGCCGGTGACAGAGGATCCAGTCTCCACAGTGTCGCCAAGCACCTCATTGCACTGCTGCCGCAGCCGCATGAGGGAGCTTTCCATCTCCTCCTGTGCAGAGAGCTTCTCGCCCGTCCGCACGAGGATGCGCAGCGTGCGGCTATACTTCTCCTTGAGCGTGCCAATCTTCTGGTGCGCCACAGACACTTTTTTGCTGAGCTCCTCCTTCTGCTGACGGTAATTTTCCGGCAGTTGCTGCTCTTGCTCTTGCTCCTGCTCCGGCTGCTGTTGCTGCTGCCGTGATTGCTCCTGTTGCTCCTGCTCCTGCTCCGGCTGCTTCTTCTTGCTGCGCTTGTCGGGCTTCTGCTCCTGCAGTGCCTTCACTTCCAGCGATTCCAGGTGCACGCTCTCCATCTCGTGCACTTTCACCTGCCGGGCGCCAAGCCACAAATGCGAGGGTATGGGTGCAAGGTGAGGAGCAGACCCCGAGGGAGGGGGATTAACCACCGATGCAGGCGAACAGGAAAGGGACATGGGAAAGACATGCAATCACAGGAAGGTAATTTTAGACAGAACAAAGAGAGAGAGAGAGGGGGGGGTTGATGGAGGCATACACTGACACAAACGCGTGGCAACGCATGCACTGCAACAATCGACGCGCACAGTCACGAGTGAAGAAGCACACACACATGCGCGCACACATGCGCGTACACAGCGCGACTGACCTGCTTTGAGAGTTCCTGAATGCTGTCGCTCATTCGCTTTGCAAGGGAGCTGACAGACTCGAGGTCCTGCTTAAAGACGGCGATGCGCCGCCGCGTAATCTCCAGGTAGTTGTCAATCACCGTCGTCAGGCACAGCACCTCCACCATGTGCGAGCGGATGCGATGCGTCTCCGGGTCCGGTGCGGGCGCCATGCTGGCCAGGCGGTGGTGGTAGTCGTTTGCAATCTGCGCGCGGATGCCAAGCACGCGCTCTTTTGCTTTGATGAGGGGCGCGAGTGCGGCGATGCGGCGGTTGACGGCCTGCAGCGCGGGCAGGAGATGCGCCCACCGCTCTGCTACATGCAGAGAAACACGGCACAGGGCAGCCACGACAAGGCAGGGCCGCCATACAAGCGGGGAGCGAGAGAAGGCGGTGAGCGAATGTGTGCGTGGGTGTGTGTGTGTGTGTGCGGTGTATATATGCGTGTGGGTGTGTGCGCTCTACATGTAAAGAGAGAAGGGGAGAGCGGTGCAGAAAAGGGTGTACCTGAGTCGTCTGGGTAGTAGTCGAGCCACTCTGCGAGGTGATCCCACGCGTCTGCGACCATGTCAACGTCTGCGCCAGCTTCAAACGATGGCAACAGCACAGACAGCGTCTCGCCCTCATGCAACATCTCCGGCATCGGCACAATCTCCTGCAGCAGCGAAAGATGAACGAGCGATGAGGCTGGCGTGGCGAACATGCGAAATGTATCCTCGAGCCACAGTCATGCTCCACTCTTCCCCTGACACACACACACACACACACACACACACACACAAATATACACACACACATACGAGCGCACGACAACTGACGTCGAGGATGTTGTCGACCATGGCCTGGTGGTCCTCTGGCTCGTCAAGCAAGACATCGTCTGTCAAGTTGGCGGCATACGCCGGTCGGTTCACAGAAAGCACGTCGTCTGCTCACAACAACAACACCAACAACACCAACAACAGCAGCAGCAGCAGCAGCAACAACAACAACAACAACAACAGCAGCAGCAGCAGCAGCAACAACAACAACAACAACAACAACAACAACAACAACAACAACACAAAACCACGCACATATGCACACGCATACACACATGCACGCATGAGCATGGGCGCCAGGGATCATTTCGAGACTTGGGACAAAGAGTGGTCAGCTTGCATGACAGTGGCATCAAGACGATGTGCGATGACGACAGTCACAACAACAGCAGCGACAAACATCAGCAAAGCAGACCTGTTGCAAGTGTGTCTGAGGGGGATCCTTGGAGCGGCAGTGTCGCCGTTGCTGAGGTGAGATTCTGGCCCAGCAGAGACATGTTCGCGGCTGCCAGCGGCGCAGCCCCTCTCTGCTGCGCCTGGTTGCCGTCAAGGACCGATGCTGTTGTGTGGACATGGCCGCACACTCTGCACGAGACGGTGGGCACGGTGTCGCTTGTCTGCTGCTGCTCCCCCTGCTGCTGTTGTTGCTCCCCCTGTTGCTCCCCCTGCTGCTGCTGCTGCTGCTGTTGTTGCTGCTGCTGTTGTTGTTGTTGCATTGATTCATCGAGGGCCTGTACAACTTGAGGCGCCAGCGTCGAAACACGACGCGGTACATACGGCTGCTGCTGCTGCTGCTGTTGTTGTTGTTGTTGTTGTTGATCGTGATGATGGTGGTGCTGGAAGCACTGTGGATGGTGGTGTTGGTGATGATGCTCGTGGTGATGTGGATGAGGCAGCGGAGGCGGCGGCAGCGGCGCTCTGTTCGCTGTCGACGATGACGACGATGAAGACGATGCTGCTGCTTGTGATTGCGGGTGGTTCGTGCCCATGTGGCTGCCAACGGGCTCCAGCATATCAACCGCTTCCTGCATCTCCAAGTGCTCCATGCAGTGCTGTGCGTATGCGCGCGCGCGTGCGTGTGCGTGGGCGAGGGGAGGGACAAAGGTGCGTGGACAAACAGACAAACGCACGTAAAACGCAGGTAAAAGCAGAGTTAGCAGAAGCACAGCATGTAACAACACCATGGGCGCATTCCGTGGGATATACATGGTCGGCAGGCGTCACCAAGTAAACACACACACACACACACACACACACACACACACACACACACAGACCACCAACATTCCCTTTGGTCGCAACGTCTCTATGAACACGCCCTCGCCAGCGCATGGGCCTGTACCTGTTCCAGCTCCTCAATGTGAAATTTGCGGGCGCAGCCGGCCGGGCACGCGCACTTGCGGGACTCCATGTAGTCGTACACGAGGTCGGCAATCTGGGTTGGCAGCGTCGACATGACACACGCCTCGAGCACCTCGGCCTCGTAGATCAGCCTGCAGGCGGCAACAGGTGAGTAGGGGAAGGGGAGGCAAGCACAGACGGTATGAGGGAGGTGGGAAGAAGGTGGGAAGGCGGGGATGAAGGTTGTGGCACACGCAACCCCAACAACAGTGAAGGAGGTGCATGAGCTTGCGAGGGTTTGACAGGTTTCAATCACAATGATATCGATCAGGTCGACAAAAAGCCAACCCACACTGCAATCTCGCTCGCAGGCACAGCCGTGGAGACACGCACCGGTGGTCGCCTTCGAGGTGATCGTCGAGGGGTGCAAGCGACATGTCCTTGCCGTCTGCCTTGTCACGCTGCACGGCGTCATCGTACACCTGTTGTCATGGAGCGGTTGGTTTGTACAAACAATGAGATGTCGCCACCAACAAGGAAAGGAGGGGGAAGAGGTCAGCAGGCAGGCGTGCAAGTGTGCCAGTCACGGTGTCACACACACACACACACACACACACACACACACACACACACAGGCTGGCAGGCGGACAGACCCACAGACCCACACCCACCCACCCACACACACACACATACCACACACACACACACACACACACACACACACACACACACACACACAAGGGCACACACAGACTGGCAGGCGGACAGACCCACAGACACACTGACACACCGACACACCGACACACCGACACACACAAAGCGTACCGCAGCGTCGACACCGATGGCCTCCATGAGGCGCCGATGAACGTCGCGCATGTCGACCGATACGCGCGTCAGGCCATCGGGCAGTGTACGCAGGAGGTCGGCTGGTCCAAAGTTCCGCAGGTCCTCCCCGGCAATGTCGAGGAGCGATGGGATTGTGTCAAAGAGCAGCTCCATCTGCGCCTTGTCAGTGCCCGGTGCCCGCGGCACCTGGAGGCAGACCAAAGGCAGGGTGAGAGTTGGTGAGGATGCGTGTGATTGAGGATGCATGTGGCTGTCGACTCACAAGCGTGTACACGGGCATGGGCACGGCGCTGAGACAGACGTGGCTTTGGCAGGTGCTCATGTCAGCACACACCCACACACCCACACCACACGTCTACCCACGCTTCATGCGACTTGTTTCACAAGACATCAAACGGTGCCAGGCAAGCGCGCGTGAAAGGAGGGGCTAACCAACGTGATGCACTGTCTCACCTTTGCGGATGCGGATGCCTGTTCGGCACCTCCGCGCTTTTGCCTTTTGAAAAGAGCCCAAGTTGCAGGGAAGCAGGGGACACAAGAAGCAGGCCAGGACGGAAGTCATGAGCGAGGTTTGCATGGACGGCATGTTTGCGCGCGCGCGCGTGTGTGTGTGGTAGCGACATGGTGGGGCAGCGCGGCCAAACTTGGTGGTTGAGCTCAGGTGCCAAGTAGTGGTTGTTGTTGCGGTGGTGAAGGGGGGGGGGAGGGTTAAAGTTGGAAGGCCCCCACGATTGGAACCACGGGTGTGCGCATGCGCGTTTGTGTGTCGACAACATGTCGTGCCCGCTATTCCACCCGTGCATCACGTTCGCACGCGTGCCGAGGAACGACACCACAGGAAACCCAGCAACACGTGACAAGCACAGCGAGGCTCACCCCATACACACGTACACGCGCACCTACACCCATACATCAGGTGAGGGTGGCGCCCTCTTCTCCACCGACCCATCTCCGCCTTCCCCCAACGTCCACCAACAACCAGAGACACAAAGGCGCACAAAGGCGCAAGGCCACCTACACGCGGTTCTTCTTCCTCTTGTGCCGCTTCCCCATGGTGTTGGTGAAAATTGGTCATGTTTTCCTTTGATTTTCATTACACGTTGAGTCCATTCGTGAGAGCGACACCACAAAGAAAGAGGAGGGGACTCAGGGAAGGGAGTGGCTGTGCTGGCTGTGCTGGCTGGTGGTGGGGTTGCTTTGGTTTGATGGAACGAAAGAACTGTGGAAGGGATGGATGCAACGAGGAGCAGCGAGACGAACGAGACGAAGAAGAGAAGGAACTGAAGGAGAAGGGCAGACGGAGAAGGCAAGGCAAGGCAAGGCAAGGCAAGGCAAGGAGGCAACAAGGAGGGGTGGCCAGATCCCGACCTGCAAGACCTGGCTGTAGGGCTGAAACGAAACAGAAAGCAGAAAGGGAAAGCAAAGGAGCAGAAGGAGACAGGTGCCTAGGTTTAGCAGATGTCGGGCACTTGGTGTGGGTTGCAGCGGCGAGCTTCGGCGGAACCGCGCTCGACAAACGAGGACACCACCTTGGCGTGGGCCTACACACAGAAGAAGTGAAGAATGAATGAAGGTGAGGCACGGGATGAGATGAGCGGGATGAGGGGATGGGAGGACAGGAAAAGGAGGGGGGGGGGAGCAATGAGGGGAGTGAAGGGAAGGGGTGACATCAGATGAGCCGAGATGAAAGGTACTCAGTGGAAGAGTGGCTCAAGCAAGCAAGCAAGCAAGCAAGCCAGCAAGCACAGCAAGCAAAGCAGTGCGGCTTCTGTTACATTACCCACCAACCCATGCACAACGAAAGCTGTGGCACACCTGACACCAAACGGAAGACAGGTGGGGAAGCAAATACCTGGACGAGCGCGACGGAGCATGGGCTTGTTCCTTGTTCTGTCACAGACACGCCGTGGGTCGTGTTTGTGACTTCCAGGCTTATCTCATCGCGGTGCTGCACGTTGGAAACGGTTTGTGTGTTAGTTAGAAGGGAAGCAGAGAGAAGCAAAGCCGCTGGGAAAGTGAGATAGCATGTGCGCTTGTGTACCCAAGTGGGGGGGGGGGAGGTGATGATGCTGGGAAACAAGAACAACGCGATCCAACAACGACTCGTGAAAATCCAACACACACACAGACACAAAGACACACAGACACAAAGACACAGACACAGACAGACAGACAGACAGACAGACACACACACACACACGCGCGCGCGCCTCGGCGACGCGCGGAACAAGAAGCTCTGTTCAAAAGAAGCTCGAAGAAGGAGCTGAGAAAACCTCACCTCAAAGACAGAGACAAAGAGTGGGTCGCACTGGCGGATGAAGCCGCCAGATTCAACCAGGTGCTTCATCTCGGTGACGTGCTGCTGCAGCCAGCCGGCAACCTGCGGATCCGAGGACGTTGTGTTGGCCGTGATGCCCGCGCTTGTGTGCGCGTAATGGCGAGTGATCTTGTCGTGGTTTTGCATTAGGTGCTGGATGGTGTCCATCACGCCGCCGTCCATGCCGTCCATACCGCCATTGCGGCCGCGCATCGCAGCCATCATCGCAGGCCAGGCAGACACCTCGTGCACAAAACCAAGGCTGCCCACCAGCAGCAGCATCACCACTGCACCGGACAGCAGCGTCATCTTCTGCAGTACTGCAAGCAAGAAGAAAGGGCACGGAAAAGTCGCAAACTGGCTTGGGGGCTGGCTTGAATCACGGGAAGGGAATGCCGTAGCTGCTGTGGATGCTGTTGCTGTTGCTGTTGCTGTTGCTGTTGCTGTTGCTGTTGCTGTAGGTGCTGCGTTGACAAAAATGAAAGCAACAGCAACAGCACTGGCAGCAGAAGGTCGAATGGAACAAAGAACAAAACAGCCAAACAACTGCAGCACGCTGAAGGCTGTCACAACTCATTCATCGCGAAGCACGAAAAGACCGTTGTCGTCGCCCTATCGCCGACGTTCCTCATCATCATTGCTGTGTTCTGGTTCATCGTTTCGTTCGGACGCCCTTCATGCCGAAGAGGAGGGCAGGAAGGGTACGCAATCGACGCCACATGGAAGAGGCGAAGCTGCAGTGCTCCCAACACGACCCAGGATGCAAGGAAGCCAGGATGCAAGCAAGAAGAAGGGTGACATGAAGAATGCCTGGGCACGAACGCAGCATCCAACAACTCCGGCGTGTTCATGTTTGAAAAGGTGGCGGCGGCGCAACTGGCTTGTTTATGTTGAAACTGAATTAAGTCTTTCACAAGAAGCAGAGGAAAAGGAAGGACACACACAGACGCACACACACAGACACAGACATACACACACACACACACACACACACACACACACACACACACACACACACACACACACACACACACACACAGACCCACACGCACACACACAGACCCACAGACCCACAGACACACAGACACAGTCACACACACACACAGACACACAGACACACACACACACACACACACACACGCACTCAACAGCCGCAGACGTCGCCGTTGAGTTGTCCTGAGGAAGAGGAGGAGACATCCACGCCAGCGCCAGAGGAGGGCGACTGATACAGCTCAGGCGTATCCAGCACCTAAGAAGAGCACCAGGACACGACCACGTGAGAACACGTGTGCGTGCGTACATGTGTGTGTGTGTGTGTCTGTGTTTTTGTTGTGTGTATGTGCATCTGTTGTGTGTGCACCCGTGTGCCACTCGCAAGCATTGGAAGAAACAAAAGAAACGCACCTGTTGTGCCAACTCCTCAAATGCCTGCTGCACACCGACTTTCGTCTTGGCGCTGCACAAGTGTGACACACAGATCAGCCAAACAGGTCAGTGAATGAAAAAGAAGATAAGCTCAGCCAACAGGTGCAACACCAAGGAAGCAAGCACCAAAAAGAGAAGCGACAAGCATTTCGCATCATACGACGTATGGAGCAGCAGCAACAGCAGCAGCAGTAGCAGCAGCAACAGCAGCAGCAACAGCAGCAGCGATCGAAGTAGCAGCAAAAGGAACCCAGCAACGGCAGTAAGACAACGTAACACCGACCTGCACTCGATGAAAAGCATGTTCTTCTCGCGCGCCAGCGCCCTGCCTTCATCCGTCGACACCTGCCTTGGCTGGTTTGACAACGACAAAACCAACAAACAAAACGCCAGTCACGCACAGACACGCCGTAAGTTTCATGTACACACGCACGCACAGAGCGAGTATGCACGCTGACGAAACATTTGGCAGCACACACACACACACACACACTCGCTCTCTCTATCTCTTGCTCCATCTCGGCAAGAACATCACGTGTACGTCAATCAACCAACTATCACAAAACGACACATACACACATACAACCGACACACATACAAGATACACACACAACACACATACAAAGATACAAACACAACACACAGATACGCATACACAGCATGCGCACCTCATCAATCTTGTTTGCCACGAGCATCTTGACAACGTTGTCGTCGCAGTACACGTTGGCCTCGTTGAGCCATGGGATGATGTGTTCGAAGGTGGCGCGCCGAGTTACATCATACACTGCAGTCGTTGGGCAAGGAAACCCATGCACAACACAAAGCACGACGTGAGTATTCGATCGTATCCGCAGCATGACCAGCATGCGCCGCTGGATAAATGGCACCGAGAGAGTACGTGCATGGGCTCTTGTCTGTGCGCATGCCTGTGACCAACGAGACAGATAGACAGACAGACGGACAGACAGAGGGGGAAGGGGAGGCGAATAACATAAACAACACACGCACAACAAACAACACAGCACAGACAGACACAGACAGACAGACAGACAGCCAGACGGACAGAATCACGCACAGACAGACAGACAGACAGACAGACAGACAGAATCACGCACAGACAGACAGACGTACGACTACACATACAACACCATCATTACCGAGGATGACGCCGTGTGCGCCACGATAATAGCTGGCCGTCAGGGTCTTGAAGCGATCCTGTCCTGCCGTGTCCCACACCGTCAGCTTCACCTGCACACAAGCATGTTGAGTGGTGTTGAGTGGTGTGGCCTTGGTGCGAGGGCAGGCCATCAGCCCACAAGGCATACAGGCAGGCAGGCGGACAGGCGGATAGACAGGAGGCAGATACAAACACGCACAGACGCACAGACGCACAGACACACACACACACCTGTTGACCGTTCAATGTCAGCATCTTGTTCTTGAAGTCAACACCTACAGGAAACGACACACAGGCATGTGGTCCATTTGTGGGTGATAACAACACACACACAATTTGCCCTCACATCTTCACAGGCACGCAGTTGAAGCAATCAACAAGCACACACCATCATGACATCGCATTGTGCGTACCGATGGTTGGGCCCATGTGTTCATCAAAGGTGTCATCTGTGAAGCGCATCAACAAGCTGATCCCCGAGCCACACAACAAACATGAAACCGTAAGTACAACATACATACACACACACAAGCACATACACACACACACAAGCACGCACACGCACACGCACACACAAGCACACACACACACACACAAGCACTCAAACCCAACAAAACACCAATGATAGGCGGTACATCGCAACATGATCGTATCCACACACCAGGATTTGCCGCAGTTGCTGTCCCCAATAATGAGGATCTTCAGCTCCGCATCCACATCCCCCATGTTGCCTTTTCTTTGTTGTCGTTTTGGCTGCACAGTCCTTCCTGCAACTTAAGTACAGTGTATGTGAATGGACCACTGCAACGCTGTCAGCTGTGTCTCCTTTATCTGTCTCTTATCTGATCTCCTTGCTGATGATGTGTCTGACTCCAGCTCGCCTGCCTGTCTTGCTGTCTTGCTGTGTTGGCTGTTTGGGTGGGTCTTTTTTTCTTGCCGATCAAAAAGTGCAATTCTGACGAACCTCCAGAAACTTCCACACAAGCCCACATTCACACTCAAGCCCATACGACCACACATTCACACTCACCAGATCGCATCGCACACACCATCCATCCACGCCAACCAACCATGCCGAAGCAAGCACCTGTCCTGTGGGCGCAGCGGGAAGACTGCGTGTACCTCACGGTGGAGGTACCCGATATCAAGGACCCAACAGTCGAGCTGAAGGGCCACACATTCTCCCTCAAGTGCGTGCCGCAAGCGACACACTGCTTGGGTTCAGTGGGAGTGACATGAGAGGTTTTTCTCATCATGCCTTCCTGTGCTTGTTTGCTTGTTTGCTTTTGTTGCGTGCATGCTTTGCTTTCTTGTCTGCACCGAAGTCTGTTGCGTGTTCCAAGTTCCCCCCCCCCCTTTGCTTGAACTCACATACCACCGCTGCAGGGGCAAGGGAGGCCCGAACCAGGAGGACTACGCTGTCACCATCGACCTTTACGGCGAGATTGACCCCGAGGTGCGTGCACACGTGTGTGTGTGTGTGTGTGTGCGTGTGTGTGTGTGTGTGTGCGTGTGTGTGTGTGTGTGTGTGTGTGTGTGTGTGTGTGTGTGTGTGTGTGTGTGTGTGTGCTTGCACCAATCAAGATCAATACTGGAACCTGAGATGCTGTTGCGCGGGTGTTGTTCGATTTTGCTTGTTGTTCCACATGTCCTTTGTTTCCATTCACACGCGCACGCACGCGCACGCACGCACACACCGAACTCAACAACTGCATGGCGTGTCGGATAATTTATGCCAATGCAGAAGAGCAAGCAGCGTGTTACTGGCCGCCACGTGTTCTTTGACCTGAAGAAGAAGGAGCCTGGTCCCTACTGGCCCCAGCTCACCAAGGAGAAAGTCAAGGTGCGTTCACGCGCGCGCGCGTGTGTGGATGTGGATGTGTGTGTGGATATACAGGGTGGACATGTGTTTGTGAGGCCGACTTAGGCGACACCTATGGACCGCGCATCATGTGCTTTGCTCACGTGTTGCATGTGTTTTGGATATGCGCTTGCAGCTGCCTTGGCTCAAGGTGGACTTTGACAAGTGGAAGGATGAGGATGAGAGCGACGACGAGGAGCAGGCAGACCCCATGGGCGGCATGGGTGGAATGGGCGGCATGGGCGGCATGGGCGGCATGGGAGACATGGGCGACATGAGCGCTGTACGTTCAAAATACGAGGGTCCTGTCGTGCGTGTTTGTGGTTGAGGGGGGAGTGAGCGTGGACACATGCTTCGCGAAGCATGTGCTTGCTGCTGCTTCTGCTGCCTTGTGTATTTGTGCAAATGGCAACGAGTACGTCATCATGGCTGCCCACAACCCTGGTTTTGCCACCCGCGAGGTTCCTTCCACTCACCCAAGGCATGTGTGCATGTGTGGGCCCTGCGGTGTCGGGTGTGCAGCTGATGCAGCAGCTGAATGCGGGCGGCATGGACCTGAGCCAGATGGCGGGCCCTCCCGGTGGCGCCAACACCGCCGCCGACGACGAGGACGACAGCGATGACGACGGTGCGTGCGCTGCTCGCTGCTGGTTACTTGCTGCTCGTACCTGGACTGGTTGTTTGCTGGTTGCCCGTTGTTGGTTGCGGCAATTGTCACCATTGGAAGTTGGGAGGGGGGAGGAGGGGAGGGGACACACGCGCACACACACACACAGACATAGAGACACACACAGACACAGACATAGAGACACAGGTACACACACACACACACAGACACACACAGACACACACACACAGACACACACACACACACACAGGCACAGACACACACACACACACACAGACAGACACACACACACACACACACACACACACACACACACACACACACACGAGCACACACAGACACACTTCTGCTCACCCCAAGCATTGCGTTCGGCCGACCTTACTCCGTCCATCACCAGACATCCCTGGGCTCGAGGACGAAGAGGCAGAGGGCAAGAACGAATGAGCAGTGCACTGTGTGACTTGATGCGCCGTGAAACTGATGAACGGATGAACTGATGAACTGATGCCATGTCACATTACCAAACCCATCCACCCATCCATTTGACTGCCATACCATCATCCTTTCGGCTGTGGTTGTGCTCAACCTCACGCCATCTCGCTCTGTCTCTCTCTCGCTCTGTCTCTCTCTCGCTCTGTCTCTCTCTCCCTCTGTCTCTCTGTCTCTCTCTCTTTGACATCACCACTCTTCCGCTAACGCTGTGAGACAATGTGACTGCGTGCACCCGTGCTCGTGCTCGTGCTCGTGCTCGTGTGTGCATGTGTCACAACCTCTGCATACGTAGTAAACACTCCGATCTGTGCCGCAGCGGAATGAGCAAGCGAGTCAGAAAGTGAGGCCTCATTTGTGTAGAGATGTGCATGTGTGCTTGTTTGTGTTGTGTTGTGTGTGTGTGTGTGTGTGTGTGTGTGTGTGTGTGTGTGTGTGTGTGTGTGTGTGTGTGTAGAGATGTGCATGTGTGCTTGTTTGTGTTGTGTTGTGTGTGTGTGTGTGTGTGGTTGCACAAATGACTGTGCCGATGCTGTGGGGTCGATGAGGGTTCATTTTCATGGAAGCGAGATGAAAAGAAAGAGAAGCAAGTGTCGGTGGGAGAAGAAGAACAACAACAAGAAGAAGAAATGTCGACAATTGGCGATGACACAACATCACGTCATGCTGCTCCAAAAATGCGTGCACGAGTGTGCACGTGCGCGCGTGTGCACGTGCGCGCGTGTGTGTGGGTTATGTGCACCAGCGATAGTTCAGGAGAGGGCGGCGAGGCGTTGCTCGAGCGAGGCCATGTTGTCACGGATGGTCGTTGTGTTCTCCTTGAGCGATTTCTCAAGCTGCACACAAAGGCGCAAGGACGAAGTGAGAACGAGGCATGGCGAACAACAACAATTGTTGGTGTGTGCGTGTGAGTGTGTGCGTGTGTGTGTAAGTGTACTCACACGCTCACACACGTGTTCTCACAGACACACGTGTTCTCACAGACACAAACACAAACACAGATACACACAAGCACGCGCACCACCACCTCCTTCTTCCTGCCCTCAAGCAGCACAGCGCATGCAAACGCACCGTGGAGAGCGTGACGCCCTGCATGGCGAGCTGGTCCTTGATGTTGGTCTGCACCTGGTCCATGTGCGTAAGGGTGGCGCTAAAGTCTGCTGCTTGCTCGTGAAGACTCTGCAGGTCGCGAAGCCGGCCCACAATCGCCGGCAGCGCACCGGACACGCCGCTCCACTGCTGCGTCAGGGCATACAACTCCTCAATCTGCACAGCGGCGTGGAAAGCGACAGTGAAGGCGATGATGTTGGTCACGTCATGTAGACTCTGAGCGTGTAAATACACACACACACACACAAACACACACACAAACACACACACACACACACACACACACACACACACACACACACACACACACACACACACACACACACACGCGCGCGCGCGCGCAGACACAGAGTGCAGTGCACCAAAACCACGTGTGCAGTTAAACAACCCTCCCAGCCCCTGTTCCTAAACCATCACCTTCTGCTTCTCGTCGGCCTTGAGCGCGAGGTCCTTGGACTTGGCGGCGACCTCGTCCAGCTTCTTCGACAGCGACGCCAACCGCAGGTTCAGGTTGTCCAGGCTCTGCGGCGAGATGCCGTACACCCTACAGCGCGCACACACAAACACACACACACACACACGCACAAACATGAGCGTCGTGTGAACGGTTGGCTTGGTTTCACATGTATGTATGAAGCTTCACATGAACGCACGTGCAACTCATCTGAGACATGACCCGTGGGCAGCATGCAGTAGACTTGCTCCCTCACCTTTGTGTCAATGCGTCGACAGCGGCCTTCAAGGTGGGCTCCTTCAGCCCAAGAAACGCACCTGAAGCAAGCAAGAACGGCAGAAGCAGGCGCATGAGTGGTTTTGATTGGCAAAAGGGGTTGGGCTGCTTGATAAGGGGCCAGCAGAGTCACACAAGCTCAAAAGGTTGTAAACTGCAGCACGTGCGACAGCCAACATAAAATAAACACAGAGACACAGAGGCGCGGACACAAACAAACACACGCACGCACGCACGCACGCACGCACGCACACACACACACACACACACACAGACACACACACAGACAGACACACACAAACCACCATGGACTCACACGACCCCTCTCCCCCCCACCCCAAAACCAAATCGCACCGATGGTTGTGATGCTCTGTGAACCGACGAGGTGTTCCAGCTGGGCCACACGCTGCTCCAACTCCGCCACCCGCGACAGCTGCTGGTACTTGGCCTGCTCTGGCGTGTAGTGCAGCGTGTACGTGATTTCCCCGCCTCCCTGTGGCGCGCGTGTGCGCGTGCGTGAGGTGAAGGTGGCAGTTTGGGCGGCGGGGGAGTGGTGATGTTGAGCACTTGGTTTGATGGACAGGGCCAGAGGGGAGGGCGTTGGACGCACACGACATAGACAGACAGACAGACAGACAGACGGACGGACGGACGGACACACACACACACACACACACACACACACACACACACACACACACACACACACACACACACACACACACACACACACACACACACACACACAAACACGACAAACGCAATCCGCACACACATACACACAAGCAGAACGCGCGCACCTGTTTGGCAGCTTCCGGTGCTTGTGTGCTTGTGCCCTTAATCTTCTCCACCTCAGCAACTAGCCGTCTGCAGCCGAATGGTGCACGCAGGCATTCGAAGGGTGAACGTGGGGGGCGGGGACGAGAACAGCACAGATGATTGGTTGGTCAAAGGCATGACGGTGGAAGCCGAACAAGTACGGGCACTGGGACGCACAAGTAACCAACACAGAACCACAAAGGATAGACGCCCTTCCATCCATCCACAACCCCCCTCCCCCCAAACACACACCACACGACACGGGCCGGGCGTTGCGGTACGTACGTTGCGACTTCCTTGTCGTGGGCCGGCGCCCTGTCGAGCGGAGCAGAGCGGGCGCCAAGGATTTCGTCCAACTTGACCTGCTGCAGCTGCTCGTTCAGCGATTGCACCTGTGCACAGAGGGCCACACACGTGTCCACGTGTCCAATAACGCATGCGTGAGGCACAGGCACAGACGCATCTCCAGCAAAGCAACGAATGTGCACGCACAAGGAGACACACACATACACACACACACACGCGCGCGCGCACGCACACACAGACACGCACACACACGCGCGCAGACAGAAACGCACGCACCTGGCTGGCCATGGTGGCGAGAGATGGCCCGCTGTCGTCCACGAGCGACTGGCCGTCCTGTGCATCCTTCATGCGCTGCACTTGCTGCAGGAAATCCTGTGGTGTGGCGAACACGCGTGCAGTTCGACACCATGCCAGGTGTCAGGACGCACGTGCAAACGCAGCCATCGTCAACACGTGTGCAGGCTCAAAGCTTGAAAACCGCAGGGGTTGGCAGCATCGGGGTGTCTTGAGCTCACCGTGACTTCAATCTGAAGGCGATGGAAGCGCTCCTGCACAGATTCGTCGAGCGCGCCGTGCTCCGCCTGCAGGGGTTCAATGACGTTCAACAGCAAGACAAGACATCGAATAAATGTGTGTGTGTGTGTGCGCGCGTGTGTGCGAGGAACAACAAGACAGCAAGCATGCGTGTGGCAAGGGCAGCGTGATACCGCGGAGACCATTGACACGGATATGGGGTGTCGCTTTGGGTACGCGTCTGGCTCGCGACACACGAGGTACACGTACCACTTGCAATGTGCGATAGCCTGTGTTCTTGTCACTGTTGAAATCTGCAGCGTGGTTGAGATCAGTTTGCGTGGTAGGGGTTAGCATAGGTGCGTGTAGGACAACAATAGCAGGTATCGCACGCGCTCTTGGCCTCGATGTCTCTCCTTATGTGATGCAGTGCAAACGATGCACACCTGCTTCTGATGCATCGAGAACTGTGCCCTTGAATCTGTGTTGCGCCGTGCACACGATTGTATGTGGTGGCGCATGTGTGTGTGTGTGTGTGTGTGTGCGTGCGTGTGTTTGCGTGTGCGTGTGTGTGTGCGTGTGCATGTTTGTGTTGTGCGTGTGTGTGTGTGTGCGTGTGCATGTTTGTGTTGTGCGTGCGTGTGTGAGTGTGCGTGGTTGTGTTGGAATAGTGAGTGGATAGATCCATGCAAGCGCCCACACCCACATAGATTAGCAGCACTCAAGATGACACACACACACACGAACGCCACGAATATGCTGTCGTACTTGTTGTAGGCGTCTGCCTTGTTGGGCTCGGTCACATCCAGGGCGGGATCTGCCTCTGCCTCTGGCGTTTGTGACTGTTGACGTACAGACAGGGGGGAGGAGACGCAGGCACACACACACACACACACACAACAACAACAACAACAACAACAACAACAACAACAACAACACAACACAAGTTAGCACAGCCCACATACAGACAAACACACAGACAAACACACAGACACAGGCACACAACGCACATGCATCAATGCATATGCTCACCTGGCCAATGGGACCCTCTTCATCGTAGGTCACATCAGGTGTCTCAAACACCTCCGGCTGCTGTCCACTCATGCCTTTTTATTGCTGTTCTGAATGTACCACAAGAGGGGTCAAGCAATGCAAGAAGCCAAGCAAACACAAACACTGGCTGGCTGGCTGGGTATCGTTCGTTGAGCTGTTGTTGTTTTCTGCGCTGTTTGGCGGGTGGTTTACTGAAAATTCAAGGAAATCTTTGAGAATAGTCGCTAATTTTTTTTATTGTTTGCCTGGTGGAGGAGGGAGACGAGAGCCGCGGTGATGGTGGGGTGGACGATAACCCTGCGTTGTCGATGGGTGTTGTTGGTGTTGTTGATGTGAGTGAATGATGTGTGTGTGTGTGAATGATGTGCATGTGTTGTTGATGTGTGTGTGTGTGTGTCTGATTAAGCTGGTCAAGTTTCACAGCCACCACCACAACAACGGCGCCCTTCCAACAACCCAACCCATCCCGCCCACATGATTGAAAGACAACGCACTGAAGGATGTCGCGGAAGTGCGGGCGGGCGATGGTGCGCCGGTGGTCGGTGATGATGATGATGGTGATAGCCATGATACACCTGCAGCAGCAAATCCAAACGCACCAGTGCAGGGTAGTGCAGTGCGAGCACGAAGCATTAGTGTGAGCACACAACCGAAATACACACACACACACAACCGCACACACACACAACCGCACACACACACACACACATACACACGCACGCACGCACAAACCGCAATACCCTTCCATCTCCCTCCCAAACTCTCAACCACACACCATGGAGGAACGGTTGTAGGCTGGTGGCGATTGGCGGTACGGCGAGCCCTGCGGCCCGCCCGGCCCGCTGTGGTTGGCAAACGCGGGCGGGCGCGTGCGCGAGAACATGGGCGCGCCGTGCGGCCGGTGGGCCCATGGCGCCGTGTCCTGCGATGGCGGCGGCGGCGGCGGCGGCCCTCCTGTTGGCGATGACGACGACGGTGGTGGGGGTGGCGGTGCGGCTGATCCCAGCGGCGACGGGCGGTGTGGGATGTGCCGCACACCAGCACCGCCGCCTCCGACGCCTACAGCGGGTGATGGCGGCGGCGGTGCGCCAGTGGGCGCGTGGCGCGGGTGTGGGTGTGCATGGTGGTGGTGCTTGCCTACTGGCGGCCCAGCGGTCGACGGCGATGACGACGACGATGCGGATGTGTGGAGCGGCGCAGCAAGCAGCGGAGACGACGGCGATGTGGGCCGGTTCGTCGCATACTGCGGGGACCCGAGCACGCTGCCTTTGCTGCCGTGGGCTGACGATGGCAGCGGCGGCGGTGGCGGCTTACCTGCTGCGTGTGTGTAGTGGGGCGGGCGGGAGCCGATGATGGGGGCGCGCCCCAGACGGCCACCAGGCGCGGGGGACAGAATCGCAGCAGAGGGCGCTGACGGCGACGAAAGCGACGGCGACACCACCGCTGTTGGCGACGTACCGACCGGTGGCGGTGGCGGCGGCGGCTGGTGGTGGGGATGGTGGGGATGGTGGTGCTGTGGCTGTGGCCCGCCGATGCCCGGGCTGGCCAGCGGGGTGGTTGCGGCTGTTGGCGTCCCAGATGAGGAGGACGAGGTGCGTGCGGAGGGGCGGCGTGGCAGTGGCGGCGGCGGCGGCGGCGGCGGTATGCTATCACGCGCACCAGCGCCTGCAACAGCCGACGGCGCGGTGGCGGGCATGCCGGGCCTGTGTGGGTACCGGGTTGGCGGCGGTGGCGGCGGTGGCGGTGACTCCCCACGGCGATGTCCATGTGGCGGGAAACCACCACCAGCACTCATTCGCATTGACGCATGTGGCTCATGCGCCGCATGTCGTGGCGGCGGCACCCGCACACTCCCCTGCATGTGTGTGTGTGTGTGTGTGTGTGTGTGTGTGTGTGTGTGTGTGTGTGTGTGTGTGTGTGTGTGTGTGTGTGTGTGTGTGTGTGTGTGTGTGTGTGTGTGTGAACGATGTGTGTGCGTTCAGGGCACAGGACCAACGCAACAGCACTGTCGCTTGTCACCGCGTCTGAAGCACGCGCGGCAGGCATACATACAGGCAGACAGATGGGTCGACAGATAGATGCACAAGCAGATATGTGGGCAGTATGTGTGGAAAGCATTGTCTCACCTGCGACATGGAGTGGTGAGGCGGCGGGTGCATGGCCTCATAGGATGGTGGGTGCTGCGCCTGTTGGTGCGGCGCCATTTGATCCCGTTGCTGTTGGTGTTGGTGTGGCTGCTGTGTTGAGTCTTGTTGCTGGTGTTCGCGCTTCTGTGCGGCCTCCTTTTCCCTGCGCTCCGCTTCTTCCGCAGCGAGTCGCTGGGTGTGCGTGTATGTGTGCGTGCGTGCGTGCGTGTGCGTGTGTGTGTGTGTGTGTGCGTGCGTGTGTGTGTGTGTGTGTGTGTGTGGGTGTGAGTGTGAGTGAGAATGTGTGTGCTGGGTGCATGCAAGCATAATAGGCGCGTTTGGTTGGTGGAGTGCGCATGCACGTGTGTGTCATGTGTATGGCACAGCATGTGGCACAGCATGTCGACTCACCGCTCTAAACTTAAGGAAGGCCTCATGTTTGCTTTGTTCGAGGGCACGCTGCTTCTCCAGAAGCTGTTCTTCCTGCTTGTCGAGCTTCCTCAGTTGCTGTGGACGAGAGCAAGAAGAGACCCGATGAGGCAGAAGTGCCACACGCACACGCGCAGCGACTGCAAGCAAGACACAGCCATGGCATAGCCATCCCAGACAGTCAAGACGCAAGGAACAACAAAACACATGGTGTAGCACACACCTCCTGCAGGGTGGTTTGCCGTTTGAGCTTCTTCTCCTTGCGCTTGCGAGTTCCTTCACGCAGCACCCTCACCTGGGCGTGGGTACAGCAGGGTGTACAGCAAGCAACAACAGATCTTTTGTGAGTCGACAAACGCTGTGCACTCACACGCAGGGATACACAATCGCACACACACACACACACACACAATAGCAAGCACACACACAAGAGCGCACACCCACCCACACTCACACTCACACTCACTCACTCACACTCACACACACAATAGCAAGCACACACACACACACACACACACACACACAATAGCGCACACCTCCTCTCGTCGCCGAGTGAGGATGCTGTGGAAGAGGGCAACTGCAATGGCCGTCGACATGGATTTCGGGCGCTTGCAAGGGAACCCGCCGCCGGGCTGGGGATACTTTCGGTTGGCGGTGGCGGACCCATCGGCTGTCGCATCGCCGCCGTTGTTGGTGTTGCCTGTGGCGTCACCGTTTGGCATGTGCCAGATGGTCGACGGAAGCAATGGCGCGGAGGAAGAAGCGGCTGTTGTCGATGCCCCATCCCCCGTGGCCGTGGTTGTCGCTGTCGTCGTTGCACCGGCATCACTGGCACCAGCAGTCGTTGCAGCAGTGGCTGTTGCCGATGCTGTTGCCGATGCTGTTGCCGATGCTGTTTGCGCTTGCTTATCAGCAGACCCGGCCTCTGGCGTGAGTGTGTTCCTGGGATGCAGGGTCGCTGGAGGCGGCACAGCAGGCACGAACCGGGGCGGCCCAGCGCGCACCACACGGCTCGTGTACGCGCCCACCACCATCGTGTGTTGTGTGTGGCGGCTGCGCTGGCACCTTCACCTTGTATCGGCTGTTGTTGGTTGTTGTATCTTTTATAATATGCAACTGCACGAAGATTCGATGGGAGAACAATGGGCGTGGGTGGAACAACGAAAATGTATGGAAAACATCAGCCATTTCTCTTCAACACTTGGGCCCGTCCGATAGGGATGTCGTTCTTCGAAGACGTGAGTGCTGGTGCTGGTGTGCTGTGTGTGTTGTGTTGTGGTGAGCTGGATGTGTAGCAGCAAGAAGAAGCGTGGATGGTGGAGCTTTGTGGGTGGTGGGGTGGATGAGTTGGCGAGACGGGCTGGTGGCCGAGGTTGTGCTTGAGTCGGCGTTGGAGGGAAGATGGCTAAAAGGTCAGGAGGGGAAGATGGCGAAGATGCACAGTGTACTGGAAGAAGGGGCGACGACAACAGCTAGCTTGCGCACACTGATGTGGCACAACAACAACAACAACAACAACAACAACAACAACAACAACAACAACGCCACACACACCAGCAAAGAGCCAAAGCACTAGTGTTTGTTTTGGTTGTCCTTCTTGTGTGGTGCAGTGGTGGTGGTGGTGGTGGTGGTGGTGGTGGTGAAAATGGAGCAAAGGCACTGATTGTTCTGCAAATCAAGCCTCTGGCAAAGCAGCCACACTGGCTTTGTATTGCTCCATGCACTCCAACATCTGCTCAACATCGGCTCAGCTGCACGCTCACACGATGTTACTTGTATGCGATGGCCCTTGCTTGTGATACCTGCATGTCTGGTCGCTTGTGTATGTGTATGTGTGTGTGTGTGTGTGTGCAGGGAAGCCGCGTTTGGGTGAAGACTGCCGAGACCTGGGTGCCCGCAGTGGCCGCAGGCAACGATGGCACTCAATCCTCCTTCAAGGCCGACGACGGCCAGGTCGGTGCACTACTGCCGGATGTTGTTCACATGTGGCAGTGACATGCCACGCGCCACATGCCACGCGCCATGCGCCATACACTTTCAAATGTTTTCACACTATTGAAAGGAAAAAACCCAGACGCGATTTCTGCCCCCGGCCCCGCTCACGCTGTACCCAATGTCAAACACACACGCACACACACACACACATTATCCTTGTTTCCTTATTATGATAGGTGCATGTGGTGCCAAACGAGTCCATTGGCCCAGACACCGTGACCGCCATGCACGAGACCAGCCAGGTACGGTTGAATGTCCTCTTTGATGAGTTGTGAACCACAGAGTGTCATCAAAGCGCGATGCTCTTCACTCAGGGGGGAACGAAACGTGTGGTCCTCAAACTCCTTTTCCCTCACCGTCCCCGCTCACGTCTTCCACTACATCACTCACACACTTCTTCACGTGTTGTCGAATCCCCTTCATTGAAACTTCACATTGCAGAACGGCATGGAGGACATGGCCCAGCTCGCAGATTTGCACGAGGGTTCCCTCCTCTACAACATTGCCCTGAGGTTTGCTGTCGCATATGACATAGTGCAACACACACACACACACACACACACACACACACACACACACACACACGCCACACACGATGATGGTTGTGCGGCTTTCCACATCACACAATTGAATTGGGCGCTCCTCACCCTTGCGGCGGGTTTGTTGTTGTTTTGTGTGGTTTTTGTTGGGGAATGTGTGCAGGTTCAAGCAGAACAAGATCTACACGTACATTGGGTCCATCCTCTCCGCCGTCAACCCGTACCAGCGATTCAACGAACTCTACGGTCCAGAGAAGGTGCGCGGCAGTGCAAGTGTACAGTCGTTTCTGTACACGCTTGTTGGTATCCTTCCTTGGGATCGTGTCGTTTATGTCTCCTTCGCTCAAGCTTTGACCACGTGCTCACTCCTTGCCTGGCATGACAGATTGAGGAGTACAAGGGCAAGACCATTGGCGATCTGTCTCCGCACATTTACGCCATCGCCAACGAGGCGTACCACGCCATGTGGAAGAAGTACGTTATTGCCTGTATCATATCGCTTATGCATGCGCAAGCAGAGGTGTGTGTGGGTGTGTTTGTTGCCCATGGGGCGCCAATAACACTCTTCTCTGTGGTTTCTGTCCGCGTTTCTTTGTATGTCTTGACCCCCTCTCTGTCTGCCTGTCTCTGTTTGATGCTGCCTGATCCATCGCCTCTACTTTTCCATTCATCCTCACCACTTCATCTTTATCCTCACCACCATCTTCCTTCCGCGCCCCCCCCCCAAACTGCCGCCACTGCCGCCACTGCCTGCAGCGATGCAAACCAGGCCATCCTCATCAGCGGCGAGTCTGGCGCAGGCAAGACCGAGTCCACCAAGTTCATCCTGAGCTTCCTGTCGCATCTCAGCAACACCATCAACGACTCCAAGGGCGTTACCGCCGCCAAGAACTACGAGGAGCAGATTGTGCTCAGCAGCCCCATTCTTGAGGCATTTGGCAACGCAAAGACCGTCTACAACAACAACTCCTCCCGGTACGCAACCCCCCAAACAATCGAGCATCGTGCCCTGTCGTGCGTTGCTGTGTGTCTCTCTGCCTGCTTTCGTGATCTTTTCCTTGACGAGATTTCTCTCCACACTTTCTTCTTCCTCGTCCTTCGTTTTTCTTTCCTTCTCTTCATCCCTCTGCTTGCCTCACGCCACTGCGTCTCCCACGTGTTCCTCCTGCTCCTCCACCACTGCCTCCGTGTAGGTTTGGCAAGTTTATCCAGCTGGCCTTCTCCTCTGGTGGCACAGTGGAAGGCGCAAAGATCATCGACTACCTCCTCGAGAAGAACAGGGTTTGTCATCCATCTTTGCTGCTTGCATGCATGTTCTTGGTTCCGATGCTTGCGTGCTTGCTTGATACTCGTGTGTGTGTGTGTGTGCGAACGTGCGTGTGTGCGCGTGAACGTGCGTGTGCGCGCGTGCGCGCGTCCCTGTTGGCTGAGTGATTGATTAGTCACAGACACGACCCCACGCTCACAACCAATTACATCGTGCGCGCACACCGTTTACTTACAACCCCCTGCACCCCACCTGTCCACAATCCCCTCCACACACACACACACACACACACACACACACACACACACACACAAACACACGCCGCGCTTTCTTACAGGTTGTGCGCCAGAACGAGAACGAGCGCAACTTCCATGTGTTCTACTGCCTGCTTGCGAGCGACAAGCTGGACAAGCTGTACCTTGAGGCGGACCCGAGCAAGTACCACTACACGTCGCAGTCTGGCGTGTGGACGGCGGACGGCATTGATGACGGCGAGGACCACGCGCGCCTGCTCAAGGCGTTTGAGGCCATGTCCTTCACGCAGGAGCAGCAGGACGACATCTTCAAGATCCTCGCAGCCATCCTCATCCTCGGCAACGTCAACTTTGTCAACCAGGGTGGCGCGCACGTTGTGACGCGCGATGTGCTGCAGCAGTGCTCGGAGCTGCTCGGCGTGGAGGCGGACGACGTTGCCGAGATTCTCACCCAGCAGAAGCGCGTTCTTCGCGGCGAGGAAATCTTCACCCCGCTCGAAGTCGACCAGGTACACACATAGAGAGGGTGTGTGTTTGTTTGTTTGTTTGTGTGTGTGTTTGTTTGCTTGCTTGCTTGTGTGTGTGTGTTTGTTTGCTTGCTTGCATATGCTCGTGGACATGATCCCAACTGTCCCTCCTTTATCTCTTTCCCTTCCTCTCCAACTGCACTGCCGCTCACCCACTTGCTTCTTGACGTGTGTACAGGCTGCGGACTCGCGGGATTCGCTTGCAATGGCGCTGTACGCGCGCACGTTCAAGTGGATCATCTCCAAGCTCAACCTCTCCCTCAAGGGCCAGGAGTCGTTCCACTTTGTCGGCGTCCTCGACATTTTCGGCTTTGAGAACTTTGAGCACAACTCCTTTGAGCAGTTCAACATCAACTACGCAAACGAGAAGCTCCAGCAGTACTTTAACAGGTGCGGCCCGCCCCTTGCGCAGTTATTGTTTGTTGGTTTGTCAATGTGTGTGTGTGTGTGTGTTTGGTTTGTTTCGGCTGTTTCTGCCATGTCGCGTAACTTTTTCCGTGATCCCTCCCCAAACCGACACACTCACGTGCACATCACATCGTTCTTGTCTACGCACACAAACACACACACACACACACACACACACACACACACACACACACACACACACACACGCACGCACGCACACACACACACACACACACCGCCTGCTGCCGCTCGTGCATATCTGTGTTTCGCAGGCACATCTTCTCCCTGGAGCAGCTTGAGTACAACAAGGAGGGCATTGACTGGAGCGACATTGACTGGGTGGACAACGCCGAGTGCCTTGACCTGATTGAGCGCAAGCTCGGCGTCCTCTCACTCATTGATGAGGAGAGCCGCTTCCCCAAGGGCACCGACAACAGCCTCCTCGTCAAGCTCCACTCCTCCCACGGCAGTGAGTACCTGTACCACACGTACCGGAGACAGACGTTGTGCATCATCATCATCATCATCATCATCATCTCTCTCTCTCTCATACGCACCCTCGCATATACCCCGCCCCCCTCCTCTTCACACATCATTACGCCATGACCCCCCCCCCTTGCTGTTCTCTCACTCACTCACCCTTACCTGCTCACACCCATTTCTCTTCCCCCCTTCTCTCTTGCTCCTAAACATACACACACACGCACACACACACTGTCTCTCCTCCTCCGCACGCCCCTTGTTAGACGAGGACTCGCCGCACTACATTCGGCCGCGCATGCAGAACACGCTGTTTGGCATCCGCCACTTTGCCGGCGACGTCATGTACGACGTCTCTGGCTTCCTCGAGAAGAACCGCGACACCTTCAGAGAGGTCCGCCAGCGTGTGTGATGGGCGTGTAATGAGTGTGTGCGTGTGATGGGCGTGTAATGAGTGTGTGCCGTGTAATGTTGGGTGTGTGATGTACATGTGTGGATGGTGTTAGACTCTTGCGCCGTTGTGAACACGGTTTTTTTGTTCGTTCGTTTGTTTGCGTCATCACATCATTTATTCATGCCACTCTTGTTGTTGCTGCTGTTGCTGTTGTGTCCTGCCCTGCACATTTAGGATCTGCTTGAGGTGCTTCGGGAGAGCAACAGCGATTTCGTGTACGACCTGTTTGAGCACGACTCGTCTCGCGGCGGCGGCAAGCGGCCCGGCACCGCCCGCAAGAAGCCAACCGTCAGCTTCCAGTTCAAGGTCTGTGCCGCTCGCCTGGATGAGAAGCTGAGACATGCGCCCCGTGTGTGTGTGTGTGTTTGCGTACATGAATGTTGTGCGTATGCCCATGTGTATGTTTGCATACGTCCGTCTATGCATGTGTGTGCGCGTGCGGCTGTCTTGTTAGGCAATGCAGCTTGCTGTGTCGTGTTTGCTGTGCAGTCTTCACACGTCTTTGAAGCGTTGCCCGTCCTCCGCTCACTTGACCTGTTCTCACACCAACCACCACCACCCACCACCACCACCACGCGCGCGCCGTGCGATCACCGCCACCGCCACAGGAGTCGCTACACCACCTCATGTCGATGCTTGGCGTGGCCTCGCCCTTCTTCGTGCGCTGCCTCAAGCCAAACACCAAGAAGGTTGCTCAGCAGTTTGAGCACAACATCGTCCTCAACCAGCTCCGCTACTCTGGTGTGTGAGCGGGGTTGTGTGAATGTGTGCGTGTTGAGTGCGTGCTGAGAGAGAGTGTGTGAAGTGTTTGTACGTGTGCGTTCATCAGTGTGTGTGCATACCATTGCGTGTGTGCGTGCGTGTGCATGGCGGGGATTGTCTGCTGTCTCCCCCGTTTGCACCATCTCATTCTGGCCACATGCACTCATGCATCATGTGCATCTGTTTGCACCAACCACCCCACACCCCTCCACCAAACTGCCTGCAGGCATGCTTGAGACGGTGCGCATTCGCCGCGCGGGCTACCCTGTCCGCAGGGAGTTTTCCGACTTCCTCTTCCGCTACCGCGTGCTGTCCAGCGGTATCGACAGCAACCTGCCCATGCCCGACCAGAGCAAGGCCCTCCTCGCCAAGTTTGACGCAAACGCCAAGGACTGGCAGATTGGCAAGAGCAAGGTGCCGTCACCTCGCCTCACTTGCTCGCTTGCTCGCTTTCTTGTTCATTGACTGTTGCTGTCCTTGATTGCTACCAGCGCCACGATGTATATCATGTATCACGCAACACAAACACACCCACACTCACTCACTTGCATACACACTCACATCAACACACAAAACACACATATTCCCACTTCCCCCCCCTCTCAGGTGTTCCTGCGGGAAGGGCTTGAGGTTGAGCTTGAGAAGGAGCGGCACGTGAGCCTCAAGGCGACGGTGCAGAAGATCCAGGCCGTCATCTTGGGCTATATCCAGCGCAAGCGCTACAAGATTATGCTGCGCAACGCCCGCCGCATCCAGGCGTGGGTGCAGATGGTGCTCACGCGCCGGCAGTACCTCAAGGAGAAGGCGGCGGCCATCAAGATCCAGGCCGTGTACCGCGGGTACCGGGCCCGCGTGCTGCGCGCCCAGCTGGAGGAAGAGCGACGCATCGAGGAGGAGCGCCGCCGCGAGGAGGAGCGCCGCAGGGAGGAGGAGCGCCTCGCCGAGATTGCGCGCCTGGAGGCCGAGGCCAAGGCGGCTGCTGAGGCCGAGGAGCGGGAGCAGCAGGAGGCGCAGCGGCGGCTTGAGGAGGCCCGGCAGCGGCAGGAGGAGGAAGCAAAGCGCAGGCAGGAGGAAGAGGCGCAACGAAAGGCAGACGAGGACCGCCGCCTCGCTGAGGCCCGCGAACGCGCAAAGTACGTTTTCTCCGCTTCACGTCGCGCTGTTTGACACATCCGTGCCCCCTGTGTGTGGGTGTGTATGTGTGTGTGTATGTTGTGTTGTACGGTGTGGTGTGTGGGGGGAAGGCACGCCTGTACGCGAATGCATGTGCGAGTCATGCCTATGATGCCTTGCGGTTATGGGAGTCGTTGAGCTACCATACCAGCCCTGTGTTTCCTTTCGTGTTTCCTGACGCTTCCCCAACCAACCGTGCGCGTGTGTGCCAGGGTGCTGGAGCAAGAGCAGCGGCAGCGCGAGGAAGAGGCCCGTCGCAAGGCCGAGGAGGAGCGGCTTGCAGCAGAGGAGGCCGAGCGGCAGCGGCAGATGGAGGAGGAAGCGCAGCGCCTTGAGGAGCAGCGCATGGCGGAGGAGGCCCGCCGTGAAGAGGAGCGCATGCAGGCGATGCGCGACGCCGAGGCCGAGGCCGCGCTTGAGGAGGCCGAGGGCATGATGGACGAGGAGATTGAGGAGGAGCACCACGAGGGCTACCTCGCCATGTTCCGCGGCGTCCTGCAGAACCTCAAGAGCAAGTGGTGCGTGCTGCACGGCAACACGTTCATGTTCTTCAAGAAGCAGCAGGACTCGATCCACGCGGGCTTCCTCACGAAGATGGGCGGCGGTACGAGCACGCTTGGCCGCAAGAACTGGAAGCGGCGCTGGATGGCGCTCAAGGGCGGTAAGCTGCACTACTACCCGTCTCAGGACGAGAAGGACGAGCTTGGCGTTGTCGACATTCAGAACTGCATCGAGATCATCTGCGTACGTTGATTTCATTGATTCATTTTGTCGTGCTCAGTTTCGTTCAGAGCATGTATGTGCCTGTACGTGTGTGTGTGTGTGTGTGTGTGTGTGTGCTTGTGCGTGTTTGTCTTTGGGTTATGGCCGTTATCTGCTTCTGTCCTGGCTGCTCGTGTGTCTGTTCGCCACTCCAGTGCTCGCTCACCTTACGTTTGTGTTGTTGTTGTTGTTGTTGTTGACCTGCGCAGGACGACCTTCCCCTCAAGAAGGAGCACGCCTTTGCCATCGACACGGGCAAGCGCACGTACTTCATGTATGCGTAAGTTGACCAACACTTTGCACGGTTTGCACCAGTGTTTTGCGTGTATCCCTCGAGCCCAACCCACGCAAACCAACACGCCATTGCACCTGCAGCGCCTTTGCAGCTTGTTGGTTCATTGTGCATGCATGCCCTCTGTTGTGCACCCGCATCCACGTTCATTGCGTATTCACCTGTTCGGCCACCACACATCCCCCTTTGTACATTTCTCCGTCTCACCAGGGACTCTGAGGAGGAGCGTGAGGAGTGGCTTGAGATCCTTGGCATGGTCAAGGGCAAGAGCGACGCCGAGCTCGCCCAGATGATGGAGACCGCCAGCGTCAACCCACGCAACGCCCAGGTAACATTGCACACATGCGCACAACATGCTTGTGGTTATGCTTGTGAATTGTTCACAGTGTCGTGCGCATACGCTGCACACACACACACACACACACACACACATGCGCAGATGCGCAATGACCCAACGTTGTTTCTCCTACCTTGAATTTGGCATGTTCTTATGCTGCTCTCCTCGTGATCAGGGCACCATTGACGTGGACGACATTCTGTCTGTGGGTCCCGCGCACTCGGACATTGACGGCCATCCATCGTTTGTCGTGATGACCGCCGAGCGCGTGTACAAGTTTGTGGCGCGCGACCAGGGCGAGATGCAGGCGTGGATCAAGGTCCTCAGCCCCAAGAAGCGCGACCCAACAAGCGACCTCGACGGCGGCGACAGTGCGTTTCTTGCCGTGTTTCATGCAGCGCTGTTGCAAACACTTCATCCACGTTGTGCACGTGCATGCATGTGTTCACAATTGGGCGATCTCTTGCGTGTTGTGTGCTGCTCTGTTCGCCAGCCCTGCCACTCTCTCACTCTTCCTTCCCCCACCTCCACCTCCTCACCCTGGCCACACACCGTACCTACCCTTCTGCACAAACTCTTTAGCGGCTGTTGTTGAGCGCGGGTGGATGCTCAAGGCTGGCGGCAAAGGAAACGCCTTCAAGCGCCGCCGCTGGTTCATCCTCCGCGGTGATGTCATCAGCTACTACAAGACCCCGGTACAGCTCTTGATTCCGGCATGCTCGCGGGCATGGTTGGAAGTCAACGCTCTGAATTGGCTTACCTGCACCTGCACATTGCGCACAGCGAGAGCGAGAGAGAGAGTGTGTGTGTGTGTGTGTGTGAGTGTGAGTGTGTGTGTGTGTGAGTGTGAGTGTGTGTGTGAGTGTGTGAATCTATCGTGTTCACGATGCGTTGCTGGCACAGCATGCAGTTCTTCGTACCACCTCTTGCGCTCCTCCATGTACGCACCTTGGTACTGCTCATCTTTTGCCTCCGCACCCAAACGCATCCTCTTTTGTCCAAAACGCCTTTGGGGTTTTCAGGCGGACGATCTGCCTGTTGCGACCATCCCGCTCAACTCGCTGTGCTCCGTGATTCCGCCTGACGAGGCTGAGGCTGCACGCGCCGGCGAGTGGACGTTCACGGTGCACTCCCGCCACAAGACCTTCTACCTCACCTGCAAGACCCAGGCAGATGCCAACCGCTGGATCAACGCCATCCAGGTTCGTGTGCATGCATGTGCTTGTGTGCTGCTTGTGTACGTGTTTGCATGTTTGTTTGCGAAACGGCCAGCAATGCACTCTTGCATCGAGAGTCATTCGTGTGGACCACTTTCCTACCCCCCCCCACACACACACATACACACACACACACATCTACAATCCCCCGTGTCCTCCTCACCCGCAACGCCGTGCATGCTGGTGGCCCAGGATGTGATTGACAACTCGCCGCTGATGGAGATGCCCATGGAGAAGCTGATTGACGAGCTCAAGCTCGCGTCCCCACAAGAGGCCGACCAGATCTACGCCACACACAAGGTTCCTTCCGCCCCCCCCTCTTGTTGCTTCGCTTGTGTTTAGTTTCTCATCGTTGTCTCCTGACTGCCACCGAAAATTTCTTGCTTGCTTCACCCCCTATCTTCCAACAACACCGCGCCGCTAACCCAGCTTGCCTGCCTGCACACATGCACACACTTCTCGCTCTCTGTTATTTCGCGCCCAACTTGCAGCTGTTGACGTACTCATCCAAGCCGCTCAAGGGCTCGCTGCTGCCGCTGCCGTACGGCGAGATCACGTCTCCGTCTGGCGCCCGCGCGTACGAGACGCTTGAGGCTGAGGCGGTGAAGCTGAGCGCATCGCTTCTGCCAGCGGTGGAGACTGGAGGCCGTGGCGGCCGCTTTGGCTCTCCGGAGAACCCGGCTGAGCTCATCCGCAACGTGCTGCAGCTGTGCTTTGATGTGCCCAAGATGCGCAACGAGGCCTACTGCCAGGTGATTGTGCAGACGACCAACGCACCCAACCCTGGCTCCCAGCTCAACCTCACCCACTGGCACCTGCTGGCCGCCATGTGCTGCTCCTTCCTCCCCTCGCGCAAGTTTGTGCGCTTCCTCCGCTTCCACCTCAAGCGCACCATCGACCACCTGGAACAGGTCCGGTCTGCCGCCATTGTGATCACGCGTTTGCACATGTCACGCTTTGCCTTGCTGCACCATGCCTCTGACTTGCACTTGTAACCTAACACGCCTTCATCATCATCATCATCATCAACAACAACAACAACAACAACAACAACAACAACAACAACAACAACAACAACAACAACAACAACAACAACAACGCGCCCCGCTTTGGTAGGTTGGCGAGGAGGTGGTGAACATTGCTGCGTTCTGCCTGGAGGCGCTCAAGCACACCAAGACGCGCGACTTCCCACCATCCACAAAGGAGATTGAAGCCATCATGTCTGGCAAGGGCCTCTCCTGCACCGTGTTCTGCGTCAACGGCAGGTGCGAGACACTACGATACGCGCGCGCGCGCGCGTGTGTGTGTGTGTGTGTGTGTGTGTGTGTGTGTGTGTGGTGCTTCCGGTATGAATGGCTGCGCCTCCTCTCTCACCATTTTCCCACTCACTCAACAACTCTCGTAATGTACTCGTCCCCCCCCCCCACAAAACAACAAAATATCCCTCTTTGCCCACAGGACGGTGGACATGCCCATCACCTCCAGCACCACGTGCGCGGATGTCATCAACTACGTCAAGGATGAGCTCGACCTGACGCAATGCCGCAACGGCTTTGGCCTCTTTGAGACGTGCGGCTCCGTCAGCAAGTACCTCGAAGAGAAGGTTTGTTACATGGAGCGCGTGCGTTTGCATTGTGTGGCTTTATATTTGCGTGTCTGGATATGCGCGCACATGGAATGTACTGCGGTGAAACGCAACGTTTAGACACCTGATGCGTCTCCTTGTTCGAAGCTCACGCGTGTCCGTCTTTGCCTGTGTGTGTGTGTGTGTTCCATGTGTTGTACAGTACACGGTTGCTGATGTGCTGTCCAAGTGGGAGAAGTACGAAGCACACGGCATCAACCCTGAGGGCGGCTCCTGGCGCCTCACCTTCAAGCTCTTTGCCTTTTACGACCCCATCGCTCCAGACCTCTCCATCACCGAGAAGGCACGTCCCACAAGCACAGACACTGCCGCTGGCTGCCGACGGCCGTCTGTGTGGTCGCGGTTGTTGTTTGTGTCAAACACACACACACACACACACACTCTCTCGCTTCTGGGATTTTGTGCATGCATGTTTTCGAGCCATGCCAGCTCACATTCCATCCAATTTCTCTCGCATCTGACCCTTTGCTGCTCCTTTGGGTGTTCAGGAGTTCCTGTTCGAGCAAGCGTTTGAGAACGTGATGAACCACCGCTTCCCCGCTGACGACGCCACGCACATCAAGCTCGCTGCCCTCCGCACGCAGTACGTCGTTGGCGACCACGAGGCCGGCGCGTACATGTCCTCGCTCGTGAAGGTGCACCCTGCCCAGCAGCCGCAGCTGCTCGCAGACACGGCTGCAACCGGCGGCAGCACCCTCAAGCGCGCTGGCACCATGATCAAGGGTAAGTGATGAGCGCTGTGTGTTTCTGTGTATATGTGTGTGCGATGAGTACGCGTCTGTGTGTGTGTGTGTGTGTGTGTGTGTGTGTGAGGCCCTTGCTTGTCTCTGCGTGTCTTTCACCGTAGCATTAACCTGACGGTTGTCTTCAAATGCACACTGCAGGCACGCTCAAGGGGCTTGGCCGCAACACCATCCGTCGCCTGCGTGGCGGCACGCTCAAGAAGTCGGAGCAGGTGTCTGATGCCGAGCTGAAGAAGATCAACGACAAGATTGTCAAGGACTGGGAGCACATGCGCGGCATGTCCAAGGACGACGCGCGCGAGGCGTACATGCAGATTATCCAGGTGCGCCCTTTGCTGTTGCTGCTGCTGCTGCTGCTGCTGCTGCTGCTGCTGTTGTTGTTGCTGCTGCTGCTGCTGCTGCTGCTGTTGTTGTGGTGGTGTTGTTGTGGTTGTAAGTGGGAGCCTGTTTGACTCCACTGTGTATGCATGTGCGCGGGTAAAGTGATGCGTTCGTTTTCCTCGTCCACCTTTTGCTCGCTTGCCTCCTCCTCACGCGTGAGCTGTGGCTGTGATATTGCGTGCTGTAGGCCTGGGAGGGCTACGGCTGCAACCTGTTTGAGGTGGTGCAAACCACCAAGAAAGAGTGGCCAAAGGAGCTCTGGCTGGCCATCAGCCTGGAGGGCGTTGGCATCTTCCCCCGCAACCAGTACGTTCCATCGTGCGTGCGTGCGTGCGTGCGTGTGTTTGTGTGTGTGTTGCCAAGTTGGTGGTGCGACACGGCTTTGCAGTGCAGCGGCACTGCGCTGCTTTGTGCACGTGCAGTCTTCCACTAGGAATTAATTAACCATCGCTCTTCAATGGCATCCGTTTTGTCTCTGCGCCATCTCGACGCAGGTCGCAGCGTCTTGCGTTCTTCAAGTACGAGACCATCCTCAGCTTCGGCGCTCCGCAGGCCAACCAGTACAAGATCCTTGTTGATGGCGGTCCAGGCGCCATGGTCTTTGAGACCAACATGGTGCGTACCGCTCCTCTCTGCTCATGTGCCATCTTTCTGTGCGCAAGCTTGTCTGTGTGTGTGTGTGTGTGCATGTGTGTGTGTGCGTGTGTGTGTACGTGCTTCTCGTGTGTTTGGTTCATGCTGTCTTTGTGTCTCTGTTCGTCACATGCGCTGCTCCCTCTTGAATTTCATGCTCACACAACTTCTCCTTCCCCATCCCACCTCTGCTCGAACGTGCAGGTGCTTGAGATTGCCAAGTTGATGAAGGAGTACATCAAGGAAATCGTGCATCGTCGTGGTTAAAGCCTTCCTAGCTCCTCCTCAGTCTGCTTCCTCTTTTTCATTCTCCTGTTTCCACTTTGCTGCCCGTGTCCTGTCGTGCCACTTTGTTGCTCGTGTTTGTGTTTTCAGTTCCTCGATCGTGTTCATTGTCCTGCCCCTTTGCCATTGTGGTCTGCATGCTTTTCGGCTCTTTGTTGGTTACAACCCCCCCTCCCCTCACCGCTGCTATGTCGCTTCTTCACCCACGAGCACCACGCAACATAATCCTCCCACGCCGATCTTACTTCAGCCTAAGTCCCTTGGTGTTTGCTCTGTTTGCTCGGGAGTTTGTGTTGGATCCCTCTTCTTGTGAGTTGTGAGTTGTTTGTTGTTGTTTTGTGTTGTTCGTACTGGTTTTGTGTGTCCCCTCGCCCATCTCCTTTTGACTCTGCCCCGCCCCCCTTCTCCTCCCAAACACTGCACCAAGCTCCTACCCCAGTTCTCAAACACTAAAGCAGCGACCCATCAAAACGTGTGCTTGCCATCCTCTGCATTTGCAGTTAGTTTACTGTTATCAAGCAAAAAGCACACGCCACGCGACACAAAGCATATGACCAACGTGTCATTGCTCCTCTGCCTTATCAGCGTCCGCATCATCATCGTCACCATTGCTGCTGCCGCCGCCACCACCTGTTCCCTCCTTGTCAGCGCTCTTGGCATCGCCAACACTCAGCGACGCAAAGTCGGGCACCTGGATGGAGATGCCAACCTCCTTCCTGTCGCCGCCCTTGCTTCCGTACCACTCGGGGTTGTTTGCCTGCCGCTGCTGCCGCTCAGAGCGCTTGGATGCAATGGACGCCTCAAACGCAGCCTGCACACGCGCGTCGTATGGGGTGGCAAAGTTGTCGGTGTTGTCTGGATCGAGCGCGCTGTCTTTCACTGCAATCACATCGCCGTCGCGAAGGCGCAGCGGTGCATGCCGGATGTTGTCCTTTGGCGGCTTGTTCTGCACCGTTGTGTTGTGTTGTGTTGTGTTGTGTTGTGTTGTGTTGTGTTGTGTTGTGTTGTGTTGTGTTGTGTTGTGACGTATGTATTGTGTGTGTGTGTGCGTGTGTGTGTGTGTGTGTGCGTGTGCGTGTGTGTGCGTGTGCGTGCGTGCGTGCGTGTGTATGTGTGCGTACGTGTGTATGTGTGCGTACGTTGTAAGAGCATGTGATTGGGATGGGAAGAATGCATGCTGGGCAGCAGCGTTCAGATGTGAACCAACAGCATCTACGCACACACCTTCTTCTTCTTCTTAGACTTGTTCTTGTTGGATTGCTGCTGCTGCTGCTGCTGTTGGCGAAGAACGGTCCACTCGCCCTTGCTGACCAGGTGCTTTGCAGCCACTGCGCATTGCACAATTCATCATGCACATGTGTTGAGATAGCACACATTCCGACATGGGAGCCCACAAACAGCATACAGCTACAGACACGCACACACGCACAAAAACTACAGGCATGCGCAACCACACGCAACAAGTTGCACGTGCCAGCTGGATTGTTCACGTACCAAGTGACTCCACGGGCACCCCTGTCTCACTGGAGAGCCAGGCTTTAAACGCAGCAAACTTGGTGGGCATCGAGACAAGACGAGTGGCAGCATGATGTGAGAGGAGGTGCAAAGCCAAGTTGATGAACAACAAATGCACACACACACGACCACACACACACACACACACGACCACAGACACACACACACACACATGCGACCTTACCGTTGGCGGTTGTGCGTTGAAGGCAAGTTCCTGCGGCGGGTTTGTCTTTCTCGTTGTTGGATCACGCAAACATACCTGTGCAGGACAACACGAATCCCAAGCGCGTGGTGCGTGTGCGTGTGGTGCGTGTGCGTGTGCGTGTGTATAAGTTGAGGAACGTAATGTCATCACATCAACTGACGCCTGCATGAGCGATGTACAGCAACGCCGCAAACCTTGAACAAGATGTCCGAGTCCGTGAGCGTTTCCCCTTGCGGGAGGTGCGTGATGCACACGGCCGCGTTGTTGAACAGCTTGTGTTTCTTTAGCGTCGACGCGTTGTTGCGCAGCACTCGCCCCTGTCGATAGCCAACCTGTGACACGTGTGCATGTGTGTGCATATGTGTGTATGCAAGTGAGTGTTCCGTTGTGTGAGTGTGTGTATATGCGAGAACATGTGCGAAGGTGTTTGCATCACTGGCCCTAAAGGGAAAGCCAAAACACGTGCACACATGAGCGATCGTCACCTTTTCGCGCAGACGCATGTAGTCTGGGGCCGGGATCACGTGTTGAACGGCCGCAAGCTTCATCATCTCATCCTGTGAACACACGTGCGCACGTGTGTGTACATGTGCAGGGTTGGAGGGAAGGTAAGTGTGAGCATGGAGGGAAAAGGGTGCGAGTGGGATGTCAGCCGAGATGACAGCCACAATTACGCCGCACACCGCTCATGATTGCTTTCCTCCCCAACCGTCTCCTCTGTCTCCAAATGCACCACCTTGAGTTGCTGCAGAGTTGCCGTGGCCTCAACCCTGACGGTTGATACGCGCCTGAGGTTGGGATCGCACCAGATGCGCTTCTCCTCTTCGCTTTCGTCGGGCTCCTGGGC